AATACAACTGCAGCAGTTTGCACTCTGCATATGAATACAACTGCAGCAGTTCACAATCTACATATGAATACAACTGCAGCAGTTTACAATCTACATATGAATACAACTGCAGCAGTTTACACTCTACATATGAATACAACTGCAGCAGTTTACAATCTACATATGAATACAACTGCAGCAGTTTACACTCTACATATAAATACAACTGCAGCAGTTTACACTGCATATGAATACAACTGCAGCAGTTTACACTCTGCATATGAATACAACTGTAGCTGTTTACAATCTGCATATGAATACAACTGCAGCAGTTTACAATCTGCATATGAATACAACTGCAGCAGTTTGTAATCTGCATATAAATACAACTGCAGCAGTTTACAATCTACATATAAATACAAATGCAGCAGTTTACAATCTGCATATAAATACAACTGCAGCAGTTTACACTCTGCATATGAATACAACTGCAGCAGTTGAATATAAAATGTATGACCAATACAATGGATCACATACCCAAAGAGTGTATAATCATGTTTATCTCACCTGCACAGGAAGTCTGATAGTAGATGTGACTTTATTGCCATCTTCAGTTTCTTCCTCGATGGATATCTGCTCCCAATTCTACCAAAAAAAAAATCATCAGCTTTTATGTCTCAACTTTAAAATCTGTAAACTTTCAGAATATATGTAGGTTTATCAGTGAATCGCTTCTCTGAACTAGACTATTGCAGCATCTCGCCAACAAATATTGTTTTTGATAATTTTCTGTCTTTTCAAATATTTTATAATTCACAACATTATAACTATAAAAAAATATACCCGGTAATTAGTATTGAAGTTTTTCAGTCAAACTTTGAACTGAAAAGCATATACATTTATAGTTATGGTACACCTTTCCCTCATCGATATCTGATATTGATACATAATTTGGAGCTTTTGTTACAGAACATCTTTGTGGAAGGTGACAAAAGTTGACATTGGTGGTGATGAGGCTCAAACCGTGCATTTCTAGGTATATTACTACACTTACTGTAGCCATTTGTAAAGCTGTATTCCCAGTGATATCCGTTAAAGACGACTGGAAATTTCCCACTAATTCAACACGCTTACAAGTCATCCATACACTGAACAAAAGAAACAATTATATAATGAATGTATATCATTGATTGCACAGGTCAACAACCACATAAAATTGTGAAGGTGTATGTTGCCCAGGCGAATGATGGAGGGTGTTCAAGACCAAGCCTGTCTAAGTTGTTCATTTTACAAAGGTAGTCTATATTAAGCAAGTCTGTAGAAAAAGACTTTTACACACAATTTTGTTTTATAGGTTTTACTGTATATAATACCAAATACAAGGTGGAATAAGAAAACAATATGTACCTGTATGCTTTATGGCAATTAGCATTCAATAACTCCTTTATTTTGTCCCATTCTGTTGGTTCTGGATTCTGTGAATAATAAGGAGATAGTTCGACTCAGATCTAAGGTGTACCGATAGAAGTATCTTGAACATAATATCTCAGACAGCAAAATAAACATATAATGAGTCTTCCAAAGTGATTTTATTACACAGTGACCATTACTGACTATTTGCATTCAAGTCTCGTTTTTATTGATGGAACGTATCGGTGGAAAATCGTTGCAGGGGATGCAAAAACAAAGCTTTGAACATAAATTAATCAACAATCGCCGCATTACGATAAAAACAAATTGTAGCGAATGACGAATATGAGATAGGGATGTGTAATCATAATACACCACAAAGTATGTTCTCAGGCAGTACGGGATTGCATTGACCCTGTACAGCCTGAGTGCATACTTTGCAGTATTCTCCTGATACCTTTATTATTATTCATCTTTAAACGAGTGCTACTGTAAAATCTGTATTAGAAACCGCGGCTTCTATTAAAATGGTACAATGCAATAGAGGGGATGAGGCTTCTATTAGAGCATCTACACATATGAGAAATGATGAATTTTTGGTTCTCAATTATTCAAAAAGAATGGGTGCGACTCCTATTAGGGATGCGGCTTCTAATACAGATTTTACGGTAATACGCATTGCTGATAAAGCTTTTTACAAATCAGCAATATCTATTGTTTTCAACGTTAGAGGTATAATAATAGCATTTGTTGAACTAACCAGTCTGTACTTGTCATAAAACAGATTTGACCTTCTAATTACAAATCTGGATTGATAATTCATAGACGAACTGTGACGGTATAAACTAATACTACTTACTCCCTTTGACTTTCCGTGACTTCGCAGAGATCCAAATCGTCTTGAATAACCCCTGGAAGTATCAAACAAGAGACTTTTTATTACATATCTTCACTAAAAATTAGATACATGATTTAGAATAGGAACATGCTGTGTATTTTTTATCCCATGAATCATGTATTGAATGTTTGCATGTATTTTGTTAACCAGTGATGTTTGAGATTGTTTTTGATTGTAAAACTAATGTAGTGAAAAAATACAGGCCGAATACAAGCGTTTATTTTTTTGTGCACAAAGAAAGTTTGCCCCGCTAACGTTGAGTAAATGATTTCCTGTGCTATTTTGACCTTACGTATTAGTGGAAATAATTCTGACAAAAGAAATAAGTCCACGACCCCCTTCATTTTAAGCTTTTGTGCCCAGAAGTCAACTTTTCTCACCAAATAAAACTCCACATAATTTCTTCAAATTTTTGCAAAATGTGGATCAAGATATGCCAATGAAAAATTATTTGCATTTGATCAAAAATGATCAAAAAAATTAAAAAAAATACTCATGAAGGAGGCAAAATGTTGCATCAAATTGTTGGCGAAAAAATTATGGAATTAATACCTAGACTGTTCAGCTTTGACTTCTTTTGCCTGTAATCCCAGCATACATTGCTGGAGGTTAGGGGTCAGATCACACAAGGCAGCACACAATCTTCCTAGCAACAAAGCTCTATTAAGTAATATTTGTTTCTTATTTGCATCACCATCATCTTGGGATTCTGTCAAAAGTTTCTCAGCTTCAGCTAGTTGTTGATTGATGTACTCAAGTAATCTAATCAAAATGTAACAAAACACAATTATAATCTTGTTTTTAAGATTCCATCAAGAAAAGAAAATGATTTCACCAAGTGCGTGAAATGTACAGTGTAAGGGAGAGGGAGGGTTTCTGATTGCTGGTTTCAATATTATTTCAATATATTTTTCCAACAATGCAATAATATATCCACAATTTGGGCAAATTTTGTGGGACAAATGCTAGTCAACATGTGGCATGAAAATGGTTTATATTATATACTCAAAATAACATACCACGTTACTGCACTATTTAAATAACTGATGTTGTACAGTTATTGAATATTGAGAGTTGACATCTGGGTGTGGATATCCTCATTGTCTATACATGCATTTATATCTTTTTTTTAGCAAAATTTTCATTCATATCTTATAAAAGTACACACAAGTCAAACAAAATGTTACTTTGTTGAGATATTATAGAGATTGATCAAATGTCCGAGTTTGACGAAACTTCATATAAAAATTGTTATTGTAACCACACAAAAAAAGAAATTGTCAGGATGAAATCATATTTTCATTTGTATTTTAAAAAAACAAATGGAAAGTGTGTCTGCGGTGATATACATTGTCATGAATCTTCACCAATCAGCTCCCATAAAAGGATTTAACCCTTCAGTGCTTGCAATTGTATCTATCAAAAATAAAAAAAAAAATTCTTTTACCTGTCAACACATTTGTAACAAGCAGTCTGGAGAAATATTAATAAATTATCTCTATCAGCAAACTTGTCAAACGGTGCAACTTGTGAGACATCCTTGTTTTGATTCGATTCTACCAAAGCGTAATAAGCCAAGTCGTCTAAAAGAGATTTTAGCTTCTTTTCCATTGTATTACACAAACTAAAAAAAAATAAAAATAAAATGTTTTTGTATTATTTAGAATAGTGTTCTTATACTGGTATCATTTTGCATGGAGCAAATGACACTTGGAAAAATTTACAATTAAAAGAACACATACGAATGTTCACATTATAATAATATTTATAGCATGGTCTAAACTATATATACCATACTATAATTGCAAATGAAAATATTATTTTAACTATGTACCATAAAAGAAAATGAATATGGAAATAGAATGTTATGGCCAAATATGAAAATAGTATATCAATTAGATAACTAGGATTGGAATGACTATGCCCAATTATGGAAATAGTATGTTAATCAGTTAACTAGAAACGGAATGACTATGTCCAAAAACGGGAATAGTATGTTAATTAGATAACCAGAAATGGAATGACTATGCCCAAATATGAGAATAGTATGTTAATTAGATAACTAGAAATGGAATGACTATGCCCAGATATGGAAATAATATACTAGAAATGGAATGACTATGCCCAAATATGGAAATAATATGTTAATTGGATAACAAGAAATGGAATGACCACACCCAAATATGGAAATAGTATGTTAATCAGATAACTAGAAAAAGAATGACTAAGCCAAATATGGAAATTACTGGTAGGTAACTGAAAATGAAATGATACAAAAAAACAAACAATACTTTACCTCTGTGTTCTTGGAGTGAAAGCTCTAGATTTCATGTAAAGTCCCCCACCATCTGAAGGTGATCTGTTAACAAGAGGTGTACTCCATACTGAGGCTGGTGGTGTGTCACTAACACTCTCTGTCCATATATAACGAGCCACATTACACTCTGAATTCAAGAATGCGATATCATCCAATGCTTGGCCAATCAGCTTCTGGGTTGAGTCAGTAGTATTGTCTAACATATTCTGAATTATTGTCTGTTAAGAGAAGTTATAATATACTATTATACATATAAAATAATTATCAAATTCTATGTTTTGTCGATAATTCTCTTAAAGATTACAGGATGAAAATTCATGCAAATGTTACCATATAAGGTCATTTCTAAGACAACTTCATGCAAATATTACCAACATAAGGTCATTTCTAAGACAATTCAGGCAAATGTTAACATATAAGGTCATTTCTAAGACAATTCATGCAAATGTTACCATATAAGGTCATTTTTAAGACAATCCATGCAAATATTACCATATAAGGTCATGTCTAAGACAATTCATGCAAATGTTAACATATAAGGTAATTTCTAAGACAATTCATGCAAATATTACCATATAAGGTAATTTCTAAGACAATTGCTGCAACTTTTACCATATAAGGTCATTTCTAGGACAATTCATGCAAATGTTACCATATAAGGTCATTTCTAGGACAATTCATGCAAATATGTTACCATATAAGATAACGTTTATGTTGTCTGTCATACATACATTGTCGGTGAGAATTTGTCGTACTTCTCACCTGAGCTCTTGTTAGGAAGAGCGGTCTAATAAACTCATCCCATGGCGATAGGTTACGGTTTAAAACACAATCACAAATTGTCTTCCATTTCACTTCAAAATTTTCCTGTTAAAAAAAAACACATACAAAAATGTTAATTTAAAGCAGAAGGATTCACTTTTTAAAAGTGAATAGAGTGAGTTTTTAGCAATATCATACAGTTAGGCCACTTTTACAATCTTTGCACAGTCCCAATTAATATGTAAAGATCTGTGTCTACCTGTTTACAAGTAGTTTGATCAAATGACACTTTACATAAAAGCCAAAATGATGGAAGATGATTTGAAGGTTTGTAAACGTCACCAGGAGCGTATTTCATGCAATGGCTAAAACAATTAGTGAAGACACTAAAAATTATCCATATTTTTAGTTCTAATGATTTCAATTGATTTGGTCATGCAACAGGCAACAATTAGATTGTCAATGAATTATCTGATTTATTTCTATAACTGTAATCTTTCAGTAACTGAGAAATATTTCATGCATTACGTCGTATCAAATGGCCCTGTTAGGTGACACCAGGCAAGGACAACGAAGAAGAGGCAGATTATATGGAATGAGAAAATGTGTGAAATGTCTATCCATTTGTTTTAACAAAAGCTTGTCCTAACAATCCTTGGAGAGTGACTGTGATCACTGCAGTTATATTTTTTACATGCATAAATTCTAACTTCCTGTACCATACAAAAAATTATATCACCAATTATTGTTCACCAAACCTATTTGCATAACATGATTATATCAAACCTCTGCTTTCGATTCAGATAATTTGACATCTTTGTCATGAAACTGTAGCAAAAAAAGAAGATGCGGAACTGTGTGCATTAGATATAGTTAGTGTACTGTGTGTTTTGGGCAAAAAAATTCATCAAATTCACTGTCCACATCATTGGTTTCCAAATGGAGGTACATGGTACTGAATTATTCATGTTTCAGGGCATCTAAAGATTGTTGACATTTGTATATCAATTCAGTTTACCTGGCCAAGTAGTTCCCATAATGCATCTCTGACTCCAGTTAGTCCTTTGATGGTAGTGAGATAGGTGAACAGTTTTCCAACCCCAGAATTGATGTCTTGGATACAAGTATCTACCCATTCCTGACAACTCTTCTGCAAATACTCTGCCGATATGGGACTGGCTAGCGTATTCAGAACCGGATGGAATTCTGAAAACAACAACTTGACATGTGTTTATTGAGTTCTTATAGAATGTTCATTTGACCCAAATCAGAAGATTCATCTCAAACTGACTGCAAGAAAAATCGCAGACAAATTTGAAAAAAAGAATCTTTGAAATCCTAGTCATATTTTTTTGTTACATAAAAATTGCTAAAAATTAAAAAATAATAGATAATCATTTCTTCCCCAAATATTATGAATAGACCTTAAATGAAAATGAGATTTGTTTTTTTGTTATTTCAATGTTCTATTGTCATCCATTATCGTGTCTACTCAATGGTTATATACCGGTAGATCAAAAGAACAGCAGTTGCGATCCATAGGAAAAATGAAACACTAATTGAGAAGCAAGGTTAATTACTGTAAATCCTAAGATTTACGCTTCTTGGGGACTAATTTTGTAATTTACTGTGTCTTAATATATCCATAAAAGTTCACTGCAAACAAATTTGTCAATTTTTTCACTCATGAATATTTACAAGAGAAAGAAAGCAACCTTACCAGTAATGGATGATGGCAAATATTTGGCAAAACTACTGGATGACATTTCTTTAGAGAGAACTTTTTTGTGACCTAAAAATGAATGCAGGAGACATATTTATAAGTGATAACTCATATAACGTGAATGTATTAATTATACATATTTTCGCTGATTAGTAAAATCTGCTGAAAGTTTCCATAAACATGTAAAATTACAGTAGAACTCGTTGTTTTACTGCCAAATCTGTGAAAACCCAGTGAATATGCCAAAAATCAAAATAGTGGAATTGAATACCAGTGAAAAATATTTTTTTTACAGTAACACCTTCCACAGCTAGCCCATATTTTCACAAGTAGTATTGGCCTGTTTTAAATTTGCATTGTCACCTATTAAAATTCTTTTTTTTTTACTGAATATTGAGCATAGTGTTTAAAA